ACAAGGTGCTTGGTGACAGCCAGCATGGCTTCACAAAGGGGAAATCCTGCCTGACCAATTTGGTGGCCTTCTATGATGGGGCTACAGAACTGATGGACAGGGGTAGAGCAGTTGATGTCATCTACCTGGACTTGTGTAAAGCGTTCGACACTGTCCCACACGACATCCTTGTCTCTAAATTGGAGAGACATCAATCTGATGGATGGACCACTCGGTGGATAAAGAACTGGCTGGATGGCCGCACACAAAGAGTTGTGGTCAATGGCTCAATGTCTGGCTGGAGACTAGTAACAAGTGGCGTCCCTCAGGGGATCGGTGTTGGGACCGGTCTTGTTCAACATCTTTGTCGGTGACATGGACAGTGGGATTGAGTGCACCCTCAGCAAGTTTGCTGATGACACAAAGCTGTGTGGTTTGGTTGATATGCTGGAGGGAAGGAATGCCATCCAGAGGGACCTTGACACGCTTGTGAGGTGGGCTGATGCCAACCTCATGAAGTTTAACCATGCCAAGTGCAAGATCCTACACCTGGGTCGGAGCAATCCCAGGCACAGCTACAGGTTGGGCAGAGAAGAGATTCAGAGCAACCCTGTGGAGAAAGACTTGGGGGTGGTGGTTGATGATAAAATGAACATGAGCTGGCTTCAGTGTGCGCTCGCAGCCCAGAAAGCCAAAAGTATCCTGGGCTGCATTAAAAGGAGCGTGATCAGCAGGTTGAAGGAGGTGATCCTGCCCCTCTACTCTGCTCTTGTGAGACCTCACCTGGAGTATTGTGTGCAGTTCTGGTGTCCTCAACATAAAAAGGACATGGAACTGTTGGAACAAGTCCAGAGGAGGGCATGAGGATGACCAGGGGACTGGAGCACCTCCCATATGAAGACACACTGAAAAAGTTGGGGCTGTTCAGCCTGGAGAAGAGAAGGCTGCGTGGAGACCTCATAGCAGCCTTCCAGTATCTGAAGGGGGCCTATAGGGATGCTGGGGAGGGACTCTTCATTAGGGACTGTAGTGACAGGACAAGGGATAATGGGTTAAAACTTAAACAGGGGAAGTTTAGATTGGATAAAAGGAGGAAATTCTTTCCTGTAAGGGTGGTGAGGCACTGGAATGGGTTGCCCAGGGAGGTTGTGAATGCTCCATCCTTGGCAGTGTTCAAGACCAGGTTGGACGAGGCCTTGGGTGATATGATTTAGCGTAAGGTGTCCCTGCCCATGGCAGGGGGGTTGGAACTAGATGATCTTAAGGTCCTTTCCAACCCTAATTATTCTATGGTTCTATGATTCTATGTCTTTGACTGGGGAGGCAGTGTGAAAACATTAGCAGCAATCCCTCTCTTCCCTCTTAGCATGGAAAGATGGGGCTGGTTCTTAGTTTACCTTTGCATTTAGCATTGACTCTACATAACATAGCTAGAGGGGATGGAAACACAGTCTACTTATTTTCATTTCCGTTTTACCAGCTTGAATTAGGACCAGGCTGATATTATCCCAGAATTATTACTATTTCCTTAGTACTCCGAGACCTCTTTGTGTGGTTTTATTACCCTTGGCTTGCGGACCACTGTGTCCACAGCACAAAAGCCCCTGTCACTCTTCTTGGTCATCTTCACTCTTTGTGGAGATCTTGGACTATAAGCCATAAACTAGTGCCATGGGCAGAAAAGATAAATTGTCTCTTATATTTCCCAACACATCTTTCTGCATCATAGCATGACTGTTACATAAAAACCTGCATTTCAATAAACTGACCTTTTGGGGGATTTTTTATTAGTTTTGTGAGTGCTTTTTATGGGTTCTTCTATGTCATGACCCAGAACCTGTCGCAAGCACTTAATTCTAGCAAAGGACTTTTAAAAAATACATATATAGAAACTGCTAGTAGAAAACCTAACATTCCTGAAGAATGTTACTGTCTTCAGTTTTATGTGCTACCTTCTCTTGGTGGGTTTTGCTTCTTGCAATCTATCTAGCTGCAAGGAGTCATCAGAAATAGAAGTGACACCACAAAAGCTACTATGATAGTTTGCAGATTTAAAAAAAAAGCTGTCTTAACATAGTTTTTCCTTCCAGGGTAGAATGTACCTTCAGTTGGAAAAACGTGCATGCACATTGTTAATGCAGCATCTCTTTTGCGTAGTTCTACTTTACAGTGAGTCATCTGCTGTCTGGCTTTGTATATGTACACAAGAAATAGGTGGGAATTAGCTTGGTTTCTGAAATTCCCTTTGATGTATTGACTGAAAAATTTGTGGTGGTCATGTTTTAGTGGGAGAAGAAAAAGATTAAAAGTACAATAAAGAAAACTAGCAAGCATGTGTGTTCACCAGATTTTAACGATAACGTCTGACAAACCCAGATACAGTTTCCACAGGGAAGGATGATGAAGAGCAAGATTGCTCAACACCTACAGAAGTGAACCTTTGCCAACTCCTGCTCTCTGAATAAGAACTTGTCTACTAAAGGAATTAGGAAAACATTGAGCCAGCTCAATTGATTTACAAACTAATGTTGAAAGAGTTACAAAAATTGCTCAGTGAGAGTATGAAGGCAGCAGGGAGGCAAGTTTGTCTTTCTTCTGAATTGCAACACAAAAAGCATCATATGTTGTGTCCTTACCTCCTCCAATTTCCTTCTTTTTGTCCTCACAGTTGAGAAAATCACACTATGTTTTTTATCCATTTATGGTTAAGGCAATAAAGATTCCTTCCAAACTCTTGGTTGCCCTAACTTAATTATACTTACAGTAGAATTAAACCACAGCAGTGCTGAGGATGTCTGTTTCTTGGGCACTCTGCCAGCTAAATCACCACCATAAACCTTTTTCATTATCTGGGAAGTCTTCCTTAACAGCTTTCTCCATAAAATGTCAAAAAGGTATCTGTAAGTTGTTGCTAAATCTAGTCGATTAAGAGCAGGAAATTAAAAGTTAACACTCCAGCACACTATTCTCTTTTCTTGGGTTTTTTTTTTCTTCTCCAGAGAAACACTGTGTGCTGGTAACATATATCCTATTCGAAGGTCAGTAGCAGCCCATGAACATGACCAATTGCTCAGATCTGAGTCTTTCACACCTCCCAGTCAGAGATGATAGCTGTGTGCATCAGCAACCATTTCTGAAATCTTTTGATTGTGTGCTTCTGTAGGGAGAGGACAGTGATAAATTGGTTTTGAAATAGAAAAAGTGCATGTTACTTTTCTAAAAGAAAAAGCCACAGCCTCAGAGTGGGCTCATTGATCAGTGGAGAGCCTAAAAGCAAATTTTAATACCAGGTCTTAGACATCCTATTGGAGTCAAAGAAGATGACAATATGGTTGCATAGAAACCATAGGTTTCAGAAACCTCCAGATTTTTCTGCATCCCACTGTTCCATTCACTCTGGTGAGGTGCTAAACTTTGTCCAGGTGAATCTCAGCCATTATCTATGCTTCACCCTGTGCTGTGAAATATTGAAATGACCACATTACCAGCATTCAGTTGTCTGTCATCAGCTTACTGTCACTGGCGCATCCCATGCCTCCTACTAACCTCGTCACCACCAAATGTGGTAACAGAATGGAGACCTACAGAGATCCTGCTTAAAGAGCTTGAGATCGGGTTTGTATGAAAGCTCCCAAGAGGAGTACATGCCTGTGCCTGCTGCCTTGTGTCTTTCCAATAGAAAAAAGAGAAACCGAGTGCCTAGAACTGCAGTAGCTAGTAGGCAGCACCTCATAGTATGTAGCAAATGTATCCCATGAATCTAATAATATCTTGTGTTTGGGTCATGGTTATCATTTTTTTCCACAAGGTCCTGCTCACGTGTTTTGTAGACATCAGTCAAGTACTGCAATGTCCTTGGAATTCCAGCAACAAGCCACTGTCTAAATGCAAGTAGCACTGTAAAAGAGAGCATTAGTCCAGTTCTGCTCCTGTGGCAGCATTTTTAGCTGAGTTTCAGCAGTATGGCATTGTTTGGCTCTCCCCTTTTACTTCTGCTCCTACTCTAGCATCCGCAGAGCCCACTTGGATCTCTGTAGCTATCATCACTGTTCTGCTGTGCCCTGCAATGGCAAAATGGTCCCAAACTACCTGCTCCAGCCTGCCATCAGTGTGAGTGCTCATGTGGCTAGTGCTTATTTGTGCAGCACCACACTAGGCCATGCTTTGCTCCTGTATCTGCCTGTACTGAGAGATGCTATAGAAATTCTTGCTTTGCCTCTCCTTGCTCTCTGGGGCTGTACCTTTGTGTTGTGCTCATGTGTTGTGCAAAATCAGCTTCTCATTCTTCATTGACTCTTTTTTCCCCTTGATATCTCAGTCAGGCAGTGTGACAAAAGCATGCTTTGCAACTATCTAACCTGATTTGGTGCTTTAGGCCAGCTCTGCAAAGTTCTGCAGCCATCCTTATCTGAGAAATGAGCTGTGGGACAATACGTCTAAACTCTTACTTTTCTCTAATCATTCTGATCAAGACAGATGATGAAATCAAAGCTTTTGCTCCCTGGCTGGCGAATTTTCCCCACCTATCTCAAAGTTGCATTTGAAATTTCCTTTTGCTCTCCATTGCTTGTGGGAAGAGATTTTAGCAAGTCAGAGTAAAAACTATTTTGAAAGTATTGTGCCTTTCTATTCAGAGAATAAAGTCACTATGAATTAACTGTTAAGATGCCTGCACAGTCTGGAATTTTAGACCCTAAAACTCGTCTGCAATTGCTGTGTGAATCAATTAAAAACTGAAGTTAAAAAAAAAGAGGCAATATTATTCTACTGAGGCAAACAGGGAAAGAAATAGGTCCTCTGATACTGCTTAGGGAAGATAGGCAACTCCATAGCTCACACTTTGCAATCATTTCTGTAACTGAAATGAAGTGTCTCAAAGACTTAAATTCTTGTGACTTGCTTCACAAAACACACTCCTTTTCTTATGCTTACATTACAATAGTGTCGTTTGTTTAAAATGCACTAATTAATTTCTTCCTGAAGTTAATGCAGTCCTTCTAAAATTATTGCTGTTGTAACTGAGAAATAAAGTTAAAAACACCACCAAAAAAGTATCAGGACATCAGGTTTCTGTACTGCAGACGCGAGAGGTTAGAGGACTGGAGATGCTGCTGAAAATCTTTTCCCTCCCACAGCAGTCTGAATCTTAAAAGAAAAGGAAAAAAAATAAACAAAACACCCACCAACAACAAAAACCTAGACGTTTAATTATACCCTAATCATCTTGATCAGAGCAATAAATGTAACAGATGTGAGGCAAGTATGTGTGTGAGAGTGCAGGACAGAGAAAGGTTTAGGGCAAGGATCAGTGGAAAATCTTTAGAAATGATGTAAGAGAAAGCAAAGGCAGGGATTGGAGTTTGTAGCCTACAGCAGAGACTATAAAAACTCTGACAGAAAGCTGAACATTAGGGACAAGTTAGGGGGAAGAACATAGCAGGACCACTAAGGTTGGAATTTCTTGTATCCAATGCAAGGTAAGAGGAACGAGGACAGAGATGTTCTGGGGATGTTTTGTGTCTTCTGCTTTGTTTACAGAAGCTTTCTTCCCTTCTGTGCTTGCTTCCTTTTATTTTTTCTTTTTTCAAGTTTTGATATTAACAGGCATGCACAAAGTATACACATGCCCATGTCTGATGGGAAACGCACAGCTTCTTTTCCACTTTGGGGTTAAGATAATAAGATGCTTATCACCTAGTATTTTTGGTACTAAAACAGGACTAAGAATATTCAGTGGAAACTCAGTTCCTTCAGTTAATCAGCCAATATTTAAACTAAATGTGTCAGTGTATTTTACAACAGTGACTAGTTACTTCCATGTTTTTGCAGTGCTTTGCAGTAAACTGCTGTCTGTTTATATTGTTATGGACTTTCCTCTGTGTATGTTACTGTCAAATGCATATTACTTTTAATATAAACTGAAAAACTATGACATAATAGTTCCTTTGCATTGCTAAATAACATATGTGGTAGACAAGTTTGCTGCATATAATGTATGGTAAACCACAAGATAAATGATTTATGGAATGTCTTTCATTTATGAACCTGCAAGAGGATTTTATTATATACCATATTAGATAGATGTTGATCCAGATTCCCGTGCAAAAACATTCCTACCCAGAACAATTATCCAATGATCTAACTACTTTGGCTTTGTAAATGAAGGCAGACTCTGATTCAGTGATAGTCATTGTAATTTCTTCATTCTGAGTTCAAAGCTATTTCACTGGGGTTTTTTTGCCTCCCAGACTGGAGTTGTACAAGTAAATACATGTGAATAACCTTTAGTTTTGATGTCCAGAGGCTACAGTGAAGTTCAGAATCCACTAATTTTTGAAGCACAAGCACTTAGTGCCTTTAGCATTCCTTACTTGGCTTTTCAATTTGGAATTTCCATCCGCTTAGGGAGTGCAGAACTGAAAGTTGAGGAGCTGCAGGAACATATTGTGCTCCTGCCCACTGATTCACTCAGAGAGCCTGAGGCAAATTACTACATATATCTGCCTCTGCTCACCTGTATTCAAAATTCAGCTCAATCTACATTTCTTGTAAAACACTTTAAATGTAATGAGGATTACCAGTCAAGTAATCCACCTTAAACCAGGCAAATATATGGTGTAAATGATGGGAAAACTGCAAAATATAAGTGGCCAGGCCAGGTGTTCCTCAATATTTGAAAATACCTGCCACGCTGATTTCGGTAAATTAGGGGTTTGTTTTCACTCTTTGAATGAATGACCAGTGTACCTCTCTGGGCTTCTAAAACAGCAAATTAAAAATATGAACCACACAACAGTTTTAAGAGTTCTCTTGACTGACCATGAAAAAGATTGCAAGTGATTGCAACTTTCTTTTTCATCTCAGTCAATCCAGAGAAACAGATTATACTCTCTAATTTCTATTTGCAGTGCATCTTCACCAAGACTTTTCTTCAGGTAATATCCTTGCTCAGAACACTTAAGTGTTTAACCAGTAAATCAGCATCAGTGTTTGAGTCTCGTTAAGAAATTCCAATGCCATTCTTGTCTCTTAGGAGCTTATCTTAAAGGCATATCTTGAAGGATATGTTTACTAGGCTTTAAATGGTCTCTGTTTTTATACTGATACTGTATTTTGCTAATATACTCTTCATACCAGGTACAAAGAACTTTCACTTACCACTCCAATGATGAAAGGAAAGGAGATATTTTTTCTAATACAAAAATATATTTCTAGATTTTTATTGATAGAAAAGTTTCTTGGTTTTACTTCAAATGCTGAAGATGGCACTCTAATAATGAATGGTTTTTAGTTCTCATGCTAAGGATGAAGAAAGCTAAACATGAAATTGTTAGAAATGGTTAGAAAAGTTGGCACATTCAGTTAGTACATATATAAATAGCAGAGGGTTGAGAGTTTGTTGGCAATGAAGAATAGTCTAATAATGTTTTGTTTTCCATTATGCATACCAGAAATACTGCAGATCTTTCAATTACCTTACTTAGGAAAGGTGCAAATAGGTTCTTCCTAGTAAGAGGTATTTTCTTACACTTCATATCATCCTCCTTTTATAATAATCCTGAGGCTTCTAGATGGATTTTACCACTTCTATTTGTGTCTCCAGCTTCATGGTCTACTTTTATGGAATTGACTTGAGCTGGGAGTTTTAATTTCTAATATCTGTTGTTAAAAATGGATTTATTACACAGTGTAGTCAGCTTTGCGACATGTCCAACTTGTCTCCTTCCTGCCCATTCTAAGGAAAAGTGTCCTCATTTGTTCTGCGTGGCCATTTGGTTTCATGGTTTGTATTCAAATGAAGAGATGAGGACCATGACTGACTGGTCTTTCACAAGCATTTGTCCAACTTTGCTAGTTATTTTTTCCTGAATTGTGTTTGTGTCTGTTAAGCAAACGTACCTCAGCAAGGCTGTGCTCATTTGTACACTTCCCAAACTCTGCATTGGAACTAGGGGACACATTTTCAGTCTTTCTTCATACGTGTTTTGCAGTTTGCATGATGCTCCCACAAGCTTCGTGTCTTCCACAGGCAGGGTCAGTGCAGAGTCTAGTCCAAGCCCTGAAGAAATTAAGAAATTGCTGCACTCATACAGATGGTAGGAATAGTTCTATATTGAGCCTCTCTGACCACATCTATGCCTACCAAAAGCACAGCTATCAATAGCTTAGTCAGCATTTGTAATAGATAATTCAGTAAAATACAGGCAAAGATGACTGTCATTGTGATAACAAAACACGTCAGGACCAAACACTGTAAATCATACAGTGAGTGCAATTATTGAAATGAAGACGTTGAAAAGTTATGACTAATCAAAGTGCCTTCTTGAGAAACCTTTAAGGAACTTAATTTTCAGAAAGTGGAACATCCTTGGCCTTGAAATACTGCCTGACAAAATGTTTCATTTGGAACACAGAAATACCTAGGCATTACCTCAAAATCAGTACTCATACTCCTCTTGCATAAATTCATGAATTTTAAGTTCTCTCTGATTCCATCAGATGAAAACTACCTGCATCTATTTATCCATGTAGTCAGGAAACTGAAAATTGAAGGTAATTTACTTCGCAGAAGTTGTCAGTGTCTATACCATGTATCTAATGGAAATACATGGCTTTGTTTAAAAGTCTACACCTACTCCAGAAATTATTAGTAACACAACCTGACACTGACTGCTTACATTTAATTTCACCAGAGTCCCATGATTCAATGTCTTGCTTCAGTATTTTTTTAGAAAGCAGTATGTGAGAAGTGCTCCATATCATATCTATGGGATGAGAACAGAAACACCACTTCAACCTATGTTTGGACTCTGCTTTTGTTTCTGAGGGTGGGTTTTGTTTAGACTTTTGTCCATTTTCTTTGATATATACATGACTAGAAACTTACACTTGAGATACACAAGGTCCCTTAGGAATTTTTGAAATCACTAGAACTGCTGGTGTGGGCCTGTTTTTCACTCTGTGGTAATGAACATGATCAGAAGATCCACCCTACAACTTAAAAAGCTGGGCAAATCTTTCTCAGCAGGAGCAGACTTGTTCTCAGAGCTACACACAAGCCATTTTGAAGTTGTTCTTTTGGTAAGATACTCATCCGTCATAACTTTTTTTGGCCATGGTGATATGATTTAGCGTGAGGTGTCCCTGCCCATGGCAGGGGGGGGTGGAACTAGATGATCTTAAAGTCCTTTCCAACCCTAACTATTCTATGATTCTATGATAATCAGGCGTCCATTCCAAGGCTAGTAAGGCCAATGTTAGGACTCAGTGGTACATTTGATTAAAATAGGTTCTATTTTGTAGCATTGGAGCAGTGATAAAACACCTCAGTAACTGTCTTGTATACACAGCTGTGATTTCCCCCAGTCAGTTGGAAGAGGTCTTTTTTGGCTAACAGGTAATGGAGGCTCACCAGTACCATCCCAGTGTTCGTAAAGCAGGTCTGGAGTCCTAAAGCAGTCTGGAAGCCCCGCTAGGAGCTTCCCAGTACCTGTAGGATAGTCATGCTTTGGCTCTGCATCAGGTCAGCTTGAGAGCATACAGCACAAAACCCAAAGGGCTTCTGGGCTCCTCCACAATGTGCTCATTGCAAGAGTAAGGTCCTCACTTGCATATGAGCTCAGGCATGTCCAATGTTGGTGTTGCAACAACAAGCAGGGCATACTCATCCATATATGGTGGCAGCTGAAGTGAAAGGTTATGGTGCAAGGCATGATGTCTTGCCTCAGTTCTCTTGCTAACAGGCCAGCAAGAAAAATAAAGCTCTTGTGATTTATGCTTACAGAGTAATCTCCACAATAATGTGAAATATGATAGTGCAAATGGGTAAGAGCAATGATAGCTGTTACCATTTTTGACAGGCAATGGGTTTGGAGCTTAGTGATGAATTGCATTCTGTCTGGGGTTTGTTCAGCCCACTTATCTTCAAGATGTCATTTTGGTTTTTTGTTTTGTGTTTTTTGTTTTGTTTCGGGTTGTTTTGGCTTTTTTTCTTTAAAAGAATAACATCTTTCAAGTTTTCTGGTTTGATGTTGGAGACTTACAGTTTGTTTGGTAAAGAATTTTGCTTTCTTGTGATCTTTTCTTGGAAAATGGCTCTGCATAGATTCCTGAGAAGAAGTTTTGAATGTTTATACTGCTTTGATAAGGTAGGATAATGTTGTCTCTTTTATCTTTAATTTTGTTTTAATTGGACCTGCAACAACATCCCTAATTATATGAGGAATTTTAGTTTCGACACTTTTCAAGCTAAAATATCACTAAAACACATAAATATGTCTGAATTTCAGACTTGGAATTACATTTAGTGAAGGGTAAACCATATTTTATGTCAAATAACACCAGACCCTGAGATATTAAAGACATGGAATTATACCCCAATCCCTTGACCTATCTGTATAAGATTGATGGTAAAGTGTTTTCCAGAAAGATGGAAATTCAATAGAAGTGGTAAAGGTGAGTTTTACAAAGACCCATGTGGTCATAAGACCTTTGCTTATTCTCCTTCAGCAACAGATAATGCCAAGCCTCACTCTAGGTCTCTTTTGCAATGAGTCAAGGTTAAATGCATATGGGGTAAAGCAAAAACCAGCGTATACCTGGAAAAGCCCCTTTTGGCAGGAGGGCTCTGCTTATCCAATTGCTCAGATGAGCTCAAGGAGGAAAAGCAACAACTTATTTTAACAACTAAGATCCTGTGACATGGCTGAATGTGAAAAGCGAAGCCTCTGACTGGCAGAAAACAGTGTGATTTTGATTACGTTTACATAATCCTCTTTGCATCCTAAGTTTTGCAAATGCTTTTCTAGAGCTAAACTGCTTCCAGTAGAACAGCCCTGCTTCTTTCTCTCTCCTTGGTCCCACCAGAGCATGAGAATCAGCACAATGGGTTTTTGCTGGGCTTAAGTTTTGCTCTGTTGTAAACCAGCAATGCTGCTTCTTAGCTACTCATTTCCATGGGAACTAGAGCCAAGGTTTAAGTCCTTACAGTTTCCTTCTCTTTTAGTTTCACTGGCATTGAGTTCTGACCAGTTAATCAAATGTCTTTTGCGTTGCAGGTGCCTTAATATTTATTTTGATTAGTGCACCAGTCGCTGTTTTTAGCAACTTGGTCCCTGGGTTGAATGAATACCAGCACAGACCTTAAACCATAATAAACCTGTGTTTTTAACCTTGCCATTTATTTTTATGTCTCTGTTTCCAAATAATCAGGATGTGGTTACCTGTGAAGGCAGTAGACTACTACTTCAAATTTCAATGCACACCCACATACAAAAATATACATTGTAGAGGGTTACAGCTTTAAAAACACCCAGACAGACTCTTGTCTGACTTTAATGCTGTTGCCACTGAACTGAGAGACAGTGGTACCACCTGGCTTATTGCTTTGATTTTGTCCTTTGATTCCAGTGAGCTAAGTCTGCTTCATCCCTACAGAATAACCAGCAGCTTTCTTCCTCACTACTGATCCCTCATGGACAATATATGTATAAAAAATATTGTATGTATAATATATAACGAGGTAACCAAATAACAGAATACAGAAGCACATGTAAAACATATTGGAAAAAGCCAAGTGTTTTTCTAAGAAGCAACACTACAAATATTGTATCCTTACATTATAAAACTAGACTCCAACACTTTTGTGGCTTTTCTCCTTTGTAGTGTGGGAGAAAATTACAAAGTCAAATGTTTTTTACCATGTATTTCTGCCTGATGGGAAATTTTCTATGTAGAGGATGAAATGACTGTCATACATCATGGAAATGTACATACATCCTTTCTGTTTCTGTTTTTGCCAAGTGAAGAATTAGCAAACAATGGCAGAATCAGGCTTGAATTACACTCTGGACCTGGAGACAGAGTAATCAGCAAATTAGTAGATACCTTTGGCACTAGAGGCCCCAGCCTAGTTCTTATTAACATCAGCTGAAATATTCCCACCTGGAATATTTCTTTTTCAGGTGTGGGAGCTGCATAACTTTTTTCCAGGATCCCAGGAAGATCATGGAAGTTTTGGCTTCTGGTAACTCATGTGAGGACTGGTGCAATGCAGCCTTGCTTTCAAAATGCTGCTGGAGAGGTGTGTGATTTCTGTAACAGGTTTAAGCAGCTATCCAGCATCGAGGAGGTCATTGTCAACCTGGGTGACTATGAGCTAAAGTCTCCCTGCTTACAAGTGTCTAGTTCATCTAATTTTAACAGAAGTTTGAGGTCATTACTGCTGCCACTTCAAGGACTGGGCCATGCACAGAAACGAATTGAAAGATTTGTAGAGCTGTAAAGAATGAAAGAGGAGGGAGCTCACTTTGCAACCAAAGGTGAAGAGCACTCAGCTGACACTATTTAGTTGCTGGGTTTTATACAGTGACTCTGTAAGAAAAATCATATTAACAGCTGTGGAACAGAATCTCCCTTTGCTTTCAGTTCTTTAATACCTTTGGAGCAAGGTTCCAAGGGAACACAGCTGTGAAGTTGTTAACAGATTGTTCTCCTTTGCAGATGCTGCAGTTCCAGCTTGTTGTGGTGCACTTGGCCCTTGTGATTCCCCTGCTGCAGTGGCATTCTATCTCAGTGCTCCTTGTGGGGGCAGCTTCAGAGGTAGGTGAATGTTTCTGATGGTAGTCACATAACACTGCTCTTCCTTTCGTTGTTCTTTGCCACAGAGTGTAGAAGACAACACAGTACCCTAACAGTGCTGGAAGGTAAACAACCAGTATTGAGTCCACAAGGGCAAAGGAGGAGCATAGTGAAGAGAGTGATGCAAATTGTATGGCTCTCGGAGGACAGAATGATTCATGCAATCTCTCCTGAAATGCCATGGGATTTTCTGTGTGTTAAAACATAGTCCAGTGACTTTGGGTAGAAAACTCCCTAAAGAAGGGAATGAAGGGGAGGGAAGCAAACTCTTCTAACACTGAAGGAAAGGTTTTATTCTTCTTAAAGAGAAATACTAGCATGAGAAGTCTGCAGCTTTCAGAAGTCATAAGGAGATCCTTGACAGAAGATAAAAGTTACAAATTAAAGAAGACTGAACAGACCAGGAGAGAAAAGGTGCAAAATCACTTGCCTAAGCTTGTGAAGGAAAGCAGCAGATGAAACCGGAGAATTGTCTGATGTTTCATGCAGGATATGCAGGGATTACACCTGAAAACACTTCTATTGCATTCTCTTTTTTATTAATGTCATGCTGACACTGAACAGATTTGCCAGGAAAGATACTTATGCAGTGGTTTCATGTCATAAGAAAAATCAAAGATCTGAAAGTTTAATCAAAGTAGCACTATGTAGCTGTAAGGTCTTTACATAGGTTTTTAAGATCAGCTTAGAAGTTAGATGCTTACAGGGGAATACTAATGGGATCCTTCTACCTTACTCTCTGTCTTCAAATGAGGATGCCCTGATCATACAAAATAACGTTTGTTATAGAAAATAGGGCTTGGGGGAACACTCCACACACCAGTGCCGCAGCAACTGCTGTTCTGGTGCTACAAAGATCTGGTAGTCTGTCTTTAACCATTAAATTTTTTTATTGTGATATATTAATTTGTGAAAACAAAAAATTAAGAACAGAACACCTCCATAGACTTACACTGGACCAGTTCACTTTTTAGCTGCTGACGATTCATGTCATCTTTTGGCAATGCATTCCACTGCATTCTATGTGTTGTGTTTAATAAGTTGCTCCTTGTATTTGTTTTAAATCCCACATCTGGTGACTTCACTGGGTGGACTGAGAAGCTCTTTTTTTTCTGGAGGAAAAAAATGCTAGTATTTATTCACCTTTTTGCTTTTCATAAGTTTATAAACCTTCCACTCTACCCACCGTAACCCATAATTATCTCTGCTTATCTGTGAAGTTGAAATTTGTTCAGTGGTTCACCACGGGAAAACTATTTTATACTTCTCATTATCATTTTAGCTGTCTCTTCCTACAATTCCATTATATCCTTTTTTAAGACAAAGTAAGTGGGACTGCATGAAGTATTCAGGAGCAGAGGCTCTTTTGACCTTCTAGTTTCAAGCATTATTGTAGCTATTTATCCCCACTAACCAGAGGGGAGAGTTCATTCTTTTTTTTAAAGGCACAATTTTTTTGCAAACCTCTATGAAAGTTTTATAACCCTGAAAGGGAACAGAAAGGATTGCTCAGTGCACTTGAAGCTCATAAAAATTAAAGTCAGAGGACAGTATGAGATCCTTCACAAAAGTATTAACAGCGCTGCATCGTTTGTGTGATCATTGAGGTTATGTCTTCCTCCTTATATAAAGATCACTGTTTTATATACTCCATCACTGGGTATGCCACCCATAAGTAGTGGGAAACATCACCACCACAAGTATGGAGTAGATCACAGACCAAGCACATTAAATCATCCATGTGACGGCTTGCTTTACATTTGTACTAAACTCACTGTCTACGGATGAGAAGATTGAGGAAAACATGCTTCAAGTCACATAACAAAAGTTATATTTAGAAATTTCCATCTAATTCTGTGAAGATCAGGTGGAGCAAGAAGGCGAACAATTCATCTGAAGAAAGAATGATTTGGCTTAACATCTCCTTTTGTAGGCTAGTTGTTGCCCTATTTTTCTGTTATTTGGAAAACAACTATTTCACTTTGATTTGTATCATTTCCCTCTTGACAGACCCCAGTGTTCTCAGCTATTCTGGATAGTAAAGTTTGGTTTTCAAAAGATGTTATGCCTAATGTCATAACTAAGGTTCAAAACACTGTGTCAGTTGAACATACTGTTCTTTCCTTTCTTCCTCCCTGCATAGCGTTATTGCATAAATTCTTTGAATGTCAGTGCTGAATGTCAGTGCTGAGCAAGTTTATCATGGGATATTTTTGAGTAACAATGAATTAATTAGTCAGCTTTGGATGGAAAATTCTGTAGAAGTTTTTATTATTATTTATTAGCATTCATTTTAAAAATGAAAACCAGTTTCCTGAAAAATATCAGGATGGATATTGGAGTCTGGTAATTGTGATTGCATTTTTAAAAAGGATTAAATTACTTGGCTCATGCTATAAGTGATGTTAATCACACTGCTGAGATAGGGATAGTGAGCTGACCTGCAAAAACAGGCTTTGTGAAGTAGTAAATTTTGATAATTCTTGCAATAATAATGAAAGCAAGTTTAATAATTTCAATTCTGTCAAAAAAAAAAAAATCTCAAACTTTTATAGCAAACTTCTGTGGGTGAAAAATGCCCATGGTTCACAGAAGGATCTTTGTTTTAAAACATCATCCCACGTTCAGTGTTCTAGTGTTCATGTATTTGTAGGACAGCTGCTGTGATGCTGGTTGAAAATTTTTCTGCAACTTGAGCAGCAAGCAAACATCCCTGCTTTCTTTTGCAGCCTTTGGAACCTTCTGTTGCTCTGGACATGAGAGCACATCCCGTTGCCGGTGGAGAGAAGTCAGCCACCAACCTGGCAGCCAAACTATTCCTTCTTGATGAGCTGGTGTCTCTGGAGAATGAGGTGACTGACACCAAGAAGAAAAGAAGTTTCCCAGGATTTGGGTCCCCGATCGACAGAATTTCTTCAACCTCTGTGGATGTTAAAGGCAAGCAGAGGTAAATTCTTAGATGCTCCTACCAGTGATAAAGTTGGAAGAAGGCTTTTGGTAAATGTCTGAGGTACAGATGGGTTAGCTTTAACCAGCAGCAGATTTAATGGCTAGTTGTGAGGTGCCTCTGATCAGGATGCCAGAATCTCTTCAGAAACCATTCTGGTTGCATGGTGTGTACTCCTTCAGCTGTGATGAATACTACCTGCATGCACTAATTCATTTATCCTTACAGTGCCATAAAACTAACAGAGAACATTCTAGCTTATGTGGGGTTTTTAGTACACTGCTTTCCACTGATGTGAACTAACATTCAGTTTAAAACTGCCTTTTTGATCATAAGATTATTTAAAGCAAAAATATGCCTGAGGTTTAAAAGCAGAGGGAAGAGCCCGGTATTCCCAAGGCTGAGTTTAAAAGGTATAGTGATGTGCATGTCTTGAATATCAAGATGGAAAGGTTTTGTGAAAATGGGCAGATGGCAGAATGAGCTTCAAGATCGCAATCAATTTATGATAAGCTAGGGCTTAATCAATACAGCAGTAAAGCCACAACTTCACAGTACACATTTGAAGATAAGCATGTCTACAGCAGGGCTAAGCAATGATGCTTTATATTGGTGGGGACAGCCCGTGAGTTTGGAGAAAAGCTCCAAACGGGCTGTTTGCTATATCTGAAAGAGCTTAACTGTCTTGTTCCCTTCTTTCTGCTGTCTTCTTTTGGATAGAATCCCCAGTGCCACAAAGTATTTAATAACATGCTTAAAGCTTAGTCTGGAATTGGAAAGTATTCACAAGAGCCAGTCAATGCTACAATTTTTTTTCAGTTTTGCAATATTTTCTTGCTGTTTTTCCATTTATCCACCCAGTCAGCTACTAGGACTTTTTGACTGCAGCTAAAAGGGATAAAATATGAAATTCTTAAAACCCTGAGTAGAACATTCTGTTCTGTATATTTCTTCAAGAGATCAAAATTGTCTCATTCTTTGTTTGCTTTTTAGCATGTTTTCCCTTTCCAGGGAAATACAAGATCATTTTTGAAGCTGCAGTTCCTTTCTTATGAAAAGTACATGGTATTCCCCATTTATCTCATGCTTTATGGGTGGAAATCGTTTGGTGAAATTTGACCAAGTTTTCTAACAGCTTGCCTCTGAAATGGTCATCATCGACCACTAATGATCATTTGCTGAGGTGAGTAGCTCCAGAGAGGATGCCTTCAACAGTGGAGCGAGGGGATACACAGTGTCCAGGGTAACAGGAAGGGCTTCTATAGCTATGTTGCAAACAGGAGGCAGGCTAGGGATAATGTGAGCTCTCTCTGGAAGATATTGGGAGAACTGGCTATGGATTTGGAGAAGTCTGATGTTCTCAATGACTTTTCTGCTTCAGTCTTCACCAGCAGCTGCTCTGACCACACTACCCAAGTCTTGGAAGGCAGATGCAGTGACTGTTAGAATGAACACCCTAGGCCCACTGTAGGAGAGGATCAGGTTTGAGATCATCTTAAGAACCTGAATGTGCACAAGTCCACAAGACCTGATGAAATCCATTCACAGGTCCTGAAGGAGCTGGTGAATGAAGTTGCTAAGCTACTGTCCATCATATTTGAAAAATCATGGCAGTCAGGTCAAGTTCCCGATGACCGGAAAAAGGGAAATATAACCCCCATTTTCAAGAAGGGGAAAATGGATGACCCAGGGAACTACAGACCAGTCAGTCTCACCTCTGTGCCTGGCAAAATCTTGGAGTAGATTCTCCTGGAAAGCATGCTAAGGCACATGAAAAACAACAAGGTGCTTGGTGACAGCCAGCATGGCTTCACACAGGGGAAATCCTGCCTGACCAATTTGGTGGCCTTCTATGATGGGGCTACAGAACTGATGGACAGGGGTAGAGCAGCTGATGTCATCTACCTGGACTTGCGCAGAGAGTTCAACACTGTCCCACACGACATCCTTGTCCCTAAATTGGAGTGACATCAATTTGACAGATGGAACGCTCAACAGATAAAGAGTTGTCTGGATGCCCACACACAAAGAGTTGTGGTCAATGGCTCAATGTCTGGCTGGAGACCAGTAACGAGTGGTGTCCTTCAGGGATCAGTGTTGGGACCGGTCTTGTTCAACATCTTTGTCACTGACATGGACAGTGGGATTGAGTGCGCCCTCAGCAAGTTTGCCGATGACACCAAGCTGTGTGGTTTGGTTGATGCGCTGGAGGGAAGGAATGCCATCCAGAGGGACCTTGACACGCTTGTGAGGTGGCCTAATGCCAATCTCATGAAGTTCAACAAGGCCAAGTATAAGGTCCAAAGCCTTGGGCAACACAGTGTTGTAGAAGGTGTCCCTGCCCATGACAGGGGGGTTGGAACTAGGTAATCTTAAGGTTCTTTCCAGCCTTAACTATTCTAGGAATAATAAGCTCATCCAATGAGTGACACAAAACACAAAATTCCTCCTTTCCCAGCATTATCAGCACAGTTTACAGTTTTGTGTTGAGATTATCACTTCTGGGGAGCTGATCAGTTCTTAAGTTTGGGATTGCCTCATTTATTAAAACCAGTTGAGTTGCCTTGATCACTGCATCGATAGTCAGACGCTACCAGAAGCATGGACCGCAGATCAGATCAGTGCTAGCTATGAAACCATAGTAAGACTGAATCTTTAGGTGGAAACAGGCAGAGGCTTCTGAACTCAGAGGCGTAAAACAGGACTGAGCACCCCACTGCTGTTGTGTACACTGTAGATAACAGCCCATTCCTGCACCAGTTAGGATAGTTACGTTTACAGACCAGATAATGACTTTTGAAGTGTGAAAACTGTTAAACAGGTTCAGCCCCCTGAATTAATACAGTGTGTGTAGTACTGCCTGGCAACACAGCAGAAACTTTTGGAAAAGAGTAGATCAAATGTAAGTCCACTTAACAGCTTGTTGTGGCACCCACCAGTTACAGCGGGGCCTAGATCCTATCTTGCTTATCAAGGTCAAGTCCTAAAGCTTTGAAAGCATGGGAAAAGCATGCAAGAAGACATGAGTCTTCAGAAGAAGCAGAAAGATCCATAGACAGACAGAGAGACTGAGACTCAGGAATCTTAGAAAAGGCTGCTTTTGAATATAAAACATCACTTTCTCCCTAGTAAGTGCTGAAATAAATATGGTCTGGTTTGCAAGACAGGGAGAGTGCGCTGACTGTCCTGTTGTGGCTCAGGATGGCCACGAGAGGGGAAGCTTCACTGCCTGCCGGCCTGCCTGCTCAAGCCTTCACAGCCTTTCCCATGGGCATGAATTTACAATTTCCTTCTCTGTTTAACTACAGAGCATGATGGTGTTAGAGCTAATGCTGCAGAACCTTAGCTCCCCCACCCCACAGTCCAGTCTGGGAAGTTAATTCCCCTTTTATCAAGTGAGACTCAGTATGAACCCAGCAGCCCAAATTTCCCTCCTGCCCCCCATCAGCTTGTGCCTACAGGTTTGGAAAAGAGTGCTGCCCTTGAGGAAACAGACGAAAGATCAGCTCTTGGCTTTCTTTCTCTGCTTTTTCTGTGTCATAATGCAACAGTGCAGCTACCTGAGGAAGGGACAAAGAGGGCTATACAAACGGCTCACCTTCATTTGGGATGTTTTGTAGCAACTCCAGTGTGACCGATATGGTGCTCCTTACATACATGATACACTGTCAGTTCCTGTTTCTTAACCTCATCTGAAAAATAGAGGCACTGCGAAATTGGCTGCTGATGCTCTGGGCTTCAGCCCATGCCTGAGAGGTGTGAGGAAAGGAGGCTGCTCAGTTGAGACTATGGACTAGACAGATACTTCTTGGTGCGGTTTGCAGAGACCCCAAAGCCACCAGCTGAGTGAACATGGCCATGCTAGCCCAAAGGCTTAGACTCAAGCACACCATAGCATGCTTTCCTGCTAGTTACTTTGCATTTGCCAACTTACAGTACAAAATTTTGTCTTATTTATGTTCCTTGACAAGGACAGAGAAAAGAGTTCATTTTCTACGGCTTCTCTTGTATCTGCATTTCACTGACAAATATTTCCAAGAGCAGAAGTAGAAGTTATTCTGAGCTGCAGAAATTCTCAACATCTCCACAATTAAATAAAACTTTTGCTGGTGGAAAAAATACTCAAAAATGTTGAATTAAGATGGGAACACTTCTTTTATATATTTTTTTTAAATAATAATAAAATATTCCTACATAGAAATTTCATCATTTTCTCATGCCATTATTTGTGAAATTATCAGGAAATGTAACATATGGAGGAAAAACCAAAACCAACCCCCTCCTGTTTTCAATCTCTTCAAAAGGTTGTTACTATACAATTTTGAGAAGAGTGCATTGCAGGAGATCCCATAGGAAAATCCTGATAGAGTTCATCTGTTACTGTGAAATATTTTCTACCTCCTTGCTTATCTTAGTCCTAGTTGGCCCTGGAGATTTCAAAGATCCTGGCTAATGGGCCACCTGAAGTGTATGATGCTATGCATGAAACAATTCCACTTTATACATGCAATGTATCTCCTTTCTTTTATGAATGGCAGTTAACCTGTGAAATAATCTGTTTGCTGATAAATAAAAACAGGGATAGTGGATCAACATTAGCCAGTCTGTTAAACAGGTACAACTCCTGCCTATTCTTTTGTAAGACAAGTAAAGCATCTTATTTTTAAACACTCACATCTTTGGCTGCTTCTACACAGCTGTTCTTTCTGAACAATAAGTTGTTAGTGGGATGAATGAAGGAATCCAAGTTGTAGTAGCATTTGTCCTTCCCCAGATTTTTCCCCTCTTTCCTTGCTTGTCTTCCCTCTGCAGGAAAGTGGTTGAGCTGCCTAAGAGACGTTTTGGAGTTCCTCTTGACCGGATTGGAGTGAGCCATCTTGGCAACACCAAGGGTTAGCAGTTCCTGCAAGTAAGCCAAAGTACTCTGGGTGTGGGCATGCTTGGAGAACCCCACCTACTCTCAGTTACACAGAGGTATTCAAGTCATGCCAGTAGGCTTGGAAAGAGTGGCTTGGGGAATGATGGCTTCTTACAGCGTGGATTGTGACTGTCAATTTAGCTTGAATGTTCTAAATTACAACTTAGTACCCCCCTACAAAAAACAAGTATTCATGACATTTTCGTTTCCTGTGGACCACCTCACAGCGTGCTTGTTCAAGCCTTGCATTTCTGACATGGGAAAACGTAATGCTTACTGCTTTTCTGCCTACAGGTGCTTCTGTTCTGAATGACTGACGCTGTATTGGAAACATTACAGAAATTCAGAAGATGCATCACAACATACCTTGTCATTGACTAATGATACAGTACTCAAGGAATTGACCTCCTGCAAAATTTTTTCACACTGCATTTTACAAATGTTACATTTACAAATAATAGCATTCAATTCATCAAGTCATAATGCTCTCACAGTTGTGCACAGTGTTACTGATAGGAGGGGACAGAAAGTATGTATATAATTTAATTGCATGGCATTTATTTCTTAAACCAGCAGAACTTCATTATCCTAGCAAGGACTGTTAGATTTTTTGGATTGAAAATAAAGCCTCCAGAGATGCCAAAAGCAGTCCATGGAAAGCAGACAGTTTGCTTTGCACATTTCTGTCAAGAGGGTGTTTGTTTCGTAGAGGAACGGAGGATTTAACAGTTGTGGGACAAACCTAGAATTTATTTCAGCTGCTGTTCGGGAAATGTCTACTGACATCACTAGGAGTTAGTCTGAATAAGAATGGTGACAATACCTTAATATTTGTCCTGATGGTTTTAGTAGTGTTTCTCATATCTCTGCACCATATTCAGACATATTTTCATTGTATGGCAGATCCTGAAATGTGGTGAGACTTCTAGATTCCTCTTCTAAGCTGATGAATATATTTCACTTCTCCCTATGCATAACATAGGATAGCATCCAAATATGAAGTCATCTACTTCCTAGGCCATCTGCACCATATGCCTTATTTTAGTCTCTTCATGTGTGCACAGGACATAATCTGAAATCTAATTCTGAAAGTTCAAGTATTTCTTGCTCTGGTAAAATGTAAACATGTCCTCTCCATTTCAGAGTAAGACAGGTTATCTTAAATCCTGTTTCAGGCTTTTCCATGTTTTTTTCTTTTTTTCCAGATTATAAAATATAGCTGAAAAGAGCTGTTTGCTGAAATCTCAATGCTCAGATTTGTAGCTGATGTTTCCTAAACCTTACATGCTTCTTCTTGGTCTTTGGTCCATGTCAGCTAAACTCTTTGGATTGCTATTTTGGGTATAAATCATCCTTAGATTTACAAAAGAAGATACATTGAGAAGGGGATTATGCAGGACAAAGATAAAAAAAAATCTTTACAAACACTCTGTATCAGGCAGGGAGTATGGCTGGAGATAGGATTTAAGTGTTGAATTCTTAATCTTGTACGAGGCACAAAGCATCTGACCATCAGCTAGAGGAAAATACAGTCAGCTTCTTAGCTACAGGAAAGGAGTTGGGAAGTCAGCGAGCCTTTGAGGCTAAAGCTATTGTGAGGATTGGGACTTTGGGGCAATTGCCCCATTTCAGGCCGTGGTGGGAGATGAGGCTCACACTCAGCAGTGCAGGTAGCATCCAATTTATGCCTGGGAGGGGGCAGTGCTCAGCCATGGCAGAGGCTTTTTCCGTTTTTCTCTGTGCTTACAGCTCTGGCCTGAGACGGGCACTGGCCCAGCCACAGGAAGTTTGCAAGAAACTTGTTTTTCTTCACATTTCCAATATAAGATAATGCTGCTGAGAGTAGCTGCGCAAACCAGTGAATCACATCAAGAGATGCCCCTGTCTTTCCCATCAAGCAGAGCAATCTTTAGCTGAGTTGGGTGATCATTCCTCCTTCAGTGGGTGAGGTGAAGCACTGCAGATGCTCTCGAGACCAAGATCTTGAAAGTTGTAGAAAGAAATAAGAGCTGTAAGACCCCATGTGATCATCTTGGGGTTTTTCCCCCTGCTTTTCCTCTGGTTTTACTGCTCATTTTCTGTGTTAAAATTGCATGTGAAGGCTTGAAGATCTGGATTGAGTGGATGCATGTAGATTGGCTGACTAAAGACAAGATTTCCTGTCCATGCTAGAAGTGAGTCTGTAAATGTAGTCCCAGACAAGCCCAGACCCTGTCTTCTACAGTGCACTGCCACCACCTATCCTAAGCCTACCCTGGGGTTTTGTGAACAGTTATCTTCTTGCACTGAGCTCATCCAGTCTGCAGATAATCTGCTTGCAAGAGAGCCATATGTTTGGGACATGGGCAGATTATGGAAGTGATGACCTGACCATTCATACAGCTGTCAAAAGCAGCATGGACAGAGCCATTGCATGATGTATTTTGGGAGACTGAGAGGAATCCAGTGCTAACACAGCAGCTTTGCAAAGACACTGCTAGATCGTAAGAGTGTTGAAAAGTTCTCAAGTATTCGGGCTTCCAAATAAAGAGGGGGTTTAAAGCCTGTTAATTGTGAGCAGAAATTATCTTTATCTGAAGGATTATGTTAAAGCAAAGCAGGAAAGAGGTGTCTGTGGTGGTGTTGCTTGGAACTGGCAGGTGGAAGCTTCAGTCCTGTTTTTGGCTTCCACAGTGTTGTGTGGACTACTTGTGAGAAAGGAACAGCCTTTCTGTTTCTCTGCCCTATCCATCACAGAGCACTCTATGACCTCCTGTGGCTCAAAAAGCACTATTTAAAATCCATAAATTGGCAGGTGCTGTTTATAATATGATGGTATCTAAAAGGCTGAACACCACAATTTGTTTTCATAGACAATGTTGGATAGCTTCACTCATGGTGCCTAGCATAGAGGTCAACAAATGTGAAATGAGGATATACTGCAGAATCCATTGCACTAGATTTGCCTTGTGCTGCCTGTTTGCAAATCCATTCAGACAGATAATAAACCAACTAGATGGTCTACTAGAATGTCTGAGGCAAATCTCTTTAATTATTGCCTGTGGGTCATTAACCTTAGCAGGAGTGACTGCCCAAGCATGGGTAAATTGTGAGCAGCCACAATGTGGAGGGTGGCAGCTGAGAAAGAGTTTCTATTCTGCTTGTGTAGGAGAAAGAACAGTACCCTCATAGTGACGTGTTGAGGGTGAGCCTAGGGAAAGCATCACTACCTTTGCTTCAAATTAGTAAATAAATTGCATTCAACACTTGCTCATCACTCTAGTAGAAGCACGTAACATAGCAGCATGTAGCTCCTGTAAGGAAGTAGAGGGGTAGTTTGGGTACTATGAGCAAGTAAATAACAGTGCTGATAGGCTGTAGCACACCATATGGGCTAAAAAATCACTGCTAAGCTGCATGGTGCGTTGCACTTCAGGAATTTCCTGTGTCTAGATCAGAGCAAGCTGTTAAACAGCCACAGATGCTGTACTCCTTTTCCTGACTTGCTGGTGAGCTGCCACACTGGGTCGGGAAGGCATGACTACAGCTAGCAGGTAACAAATAGATCCTGCTGCTCTGGCCTTTCATTGCACTGGGATTTCCTGCAAGCCAAAAGCATCTGAGCTGAAGACCAGCTTGGGGCATGCAATGAAGCTCTTGTAACACACCTCCCTTTCAGGCAGAGCACCAAACTCTTAAAGAAAGAGAGATCCTTCTCTTGGCAATAGGCCATGATTTTTTTCCTGCATTTGGTGCTGTTGTGAGGGTATGTGAAAGTCTGCCCCATATACCTCTTCACTTGCACAAAAGTAACAGGAAATGGGTTCTGAAATAACAAAGAATTAATGCTAATAGTGAAGTGTATTTTGCATGTCATTAGAGCTCACTGATATAATCAAACTGGTTTTATTCCATGGATGTTGGCTTTGCCCTGTAATAGGATGAATACATCTCCTGTTAATAAAGTACACAAAAAGTACTGCTGTGGTTAAGCATGCACTTCTTGCCAGAGCCCAAGGCAATGAATGTAGATTGGTAATTGCAGCTTTTGGAGAGGTAAAGTTTTGAAGACTACATAGTATGCAAGCTACAGTTAAATAGCATAACTTGGTGGGGCTGGAGAGAGAGTTCAATTCTAATCAAAATCAGGCCACACATTACTAGGATCTACCAGATTCTGCTCTCATTTACACTCTTGGAAACCACAGAGTTAACATCAAGATTTACTCTGGGGATATGGTCCTTTCGGTTTGTTCTTTTTTTTCAAATAAATGTGGATAATGTGACTTAAGATGAATATATGTAAGAACCAGTGATAGACTGTGATCTCTTCCTTTTGGACAGAGGAAGACGTAATTCTGTAGTAGAAAAAGACAGCTAGCATCTGCACTGGCCAGCCAGATGAGCCAAAAATCTCTGCTGAAAACAGCTTTTAGGGGTGAATAGTTAGAAGTCAAGTCCTATGAGGATAGCAGCCCACATATATTCATGAGAAAGACACAACTCTCATTCCTGATTTTGGCCAAAAGGAAGGCCTCTTCAGGCACACTGAAAGAGACCAGTGTTGCTATACCTAGGTATTTAATGGGAACCTTTTTTGCCATTGTAAACTTCACATGAACCATTAAGGTAACAAGAACCTACAATAAGGGAAACGTGTTGTGTCTTGGGCCTCTGCAGGGGGTGAGAAAGAAAACAGCATGTGCTTCTGTGCAACAGAAAAATCTTTATTGGAATGATATCCAAGGGGTCCAGGCTTCTGTGTCTGTCCTCCCCCAGACCTACTGCGCACACTGACAGGACACAACAAGGAACAGCTCTGGCTCAGCAAGCCGAGGCAGGCAGCTCTGAGTCCTTCACCCAATTACACCCAATCTGCCTTCCTGTCCCAACAGCGTGTATCAGGTCATCACAGACCTACTCGTAGGAAGTGATAGGAAATGGAGACATCACTGTGAGCAATGTCTGCAGATGTGGGCAGAGGCCCAAACTCAGAGGAACTGAGTTAGTGCTTGGTGCCTCAGGGGACCTGGTGAGAAGGGGAAGAGTGTACAGTGGCAGCAGACTGAATGGCACACACAGGACAGTAAGGGAAGTTGGTGAGCATCTTCCAAGTAGAAGATCACAGTGGGATAAACCTGCAAAGAAGGAACAGTTGAGAGTGGTAGTGGGTTACCAGCTCTTGTCACAGTCCCTGTTAGAGTTGGCTGTTGTATAATTGTGGAGGATGGCACTCAACTTAGCAGCACGATGACAGAACAGAACAAACTCTTAACACATTAATGCCCAGCAAGGCATTTGGGGAAGGGCTCATGTTCATCCTCCAGTCCTGGCAAGCCTTCAGATGCAGTATTTCCAAAAGCAGGCTGGGAAGGGATACAAGAGAAGGATGTTAGTATCCAAGGAAGTTTTCCAGCTTCCTATTCTAGCCCCATGTCTTGAGAGAGTTGGGGTGTGAAGCTAGCATTGTGCTTTCTGGGCACATCTCAATAACCATCTTTGACTTCATATAAAACTTTTAGAAGTTGTTTCTTTTAGCTGCTTATAGTGTAAATAAGGGGTGTAAAAGTTGCTTCCGTGTCCAGGCACTCAGCTGGTAACTGGCCTCCAAACAACACTGATGTCTGTGGGAGCTTCTAGGCAAACTAGGCTGGGGAAGGATGCACGTTTTGGTGTTGGAAAAAAAAAAAAAAGCTGTATCACCAGCATGCCTTGTTCTTTGAATCTTTTGTGGGTCTCCTATTGTTAAGTATGAGAAGAGATTTCTATCCAGGTTTTGAAAGCAGGATCTTGGGGCAAAGCTTCTACTGAATCAGCAGTGCTCATGCTGAGACATGAGATTCTCTCCTAGACTGGAAGGACTTTAGATGAAGGCAAAGATTCTTTGTCAGAATCTGATTTAAACCTGGCAGGGCAAAGTAGTTTTATCTGCATTTGAACTTTCCAGACTGGTGGGGGTATGAATTAGAGTAGCCAAACTAAAGACAGCCTCCAGGATTGCCTATAAACTGCAGATTGTCTCAGGATCACCTGAGCACTTAAACAAGCCTCGCACAAAAAGATTTTCCCTTGGTTGACCGGGAGGTTGTCAGCTTGCTTGTGCACAGAGCATGTGGGTAAGGGCAGAACTAGCTCTTTTGGGTTTAGGCCAGAGCTGTCATCAGTGACTTCTGGTTTGCAGCTGCCACAGCTTAGGGGAGGAATCCACTGAAAGCCAGCATGAACAGTATTGTCCATGTGCTTGTCAGGGGTGGCCTTGCAGGAGCACTGCTGTTATGTGCTCCTGAGTCACTGAATACAGACTGGGCAAAGCTTGGGGACCAACTGGGGGACCTACCAAATCTTAGTTCCCTGCATTCTTGGTTGATTTCCACATCCTTTTTAGCTGCTTTTCAACAGCAAGAACAAGTGCTCCTTTTTTCTCTGGAGGGATGCAGTGACCTTGGCAGACAAGAATGCATGCCAAATTCATCATTATGCCTTCAGCACTAGCTTTGTGCCCAGAGCAAAGCAATTTGTGCACTTAGGGGACGTGTTCATACATAACTCGCCCCCTCCACTACAAGCACTCCTTGCTCATATAACCCCATGTTTCTCTGTGAAAAGCAGGATGCAACACTGACTGCCTTCAGTAAGGTCCTGGGTGTGCAGACCTGGTGTATCTGCCCTGACAGCAGACAGGGTTGGGTACAGAGTTCTTCTCTACTTCTCTCAAGGGCTGCTAAACCAGCCAGCCATTAACAAGAGAGGGCCAGGACTGCTAGAAAAACTGCCAACCTGTTTTTCAGCATATTTGGGTCATGTTTACTGTCACTGTCTTTGTTGCAGAAAGGAAGCCCTGGAGATGAGAGCTGGATGGGATGGTTACAGGGCTCTAACCCAAAACCTACCGCGTTTTTTGGGCTGGGATGCTGAAAGACTTTCCAAGGCATAGGCCATTTCTGACCCTTCCTCAGTTGAGAGCTGATCCTTCAACTTCTCCAGCTGTTTAAACATAAACACAGCAGTAAACAAATGCTCCGTCATGAGGAGCTCCACAGCACGCTGGCAAGCACAGGGCAGCTCAGAGGCAGGAGGTACAGGCAACCTGGTTGTCAGCATCACTGGAGAAGGCAGGGTCTTCCCTGGAGCAGGACCATTGCAGGAAGATCTACCTTTGGAGCTTTCAAACCTCCTCATGTCCTCCTCCATTAAGCTGCCTGTTTGGTGGCAGCAGTGTAGGCACTGTCTGCTCTTCCCCACACACCAGGGTGCAAACCCTTGTAGTGAGAAGGCTGCATAGGAGGATATTGCACCACTAATTGTCAAGTCACCGCTGGGGAAGGAGGTCTCCAGGAATCCACCCACTGCAGCAGAGAACATTGCTTCTCCATTGCTCTATGTTGTCCCTTCTCTCCCTTCCTCCAGTTCTGGCTAACTTCCTTTGGTTAGGATGTACAAAGTCTACGGTATTTCTTCTCCATCTGTAGCTACTCTTTTCTAGTAGACCAGGAACATCTGTGGCCCATATCTAGACTTCTCTGGATGTGTTACTCCCAGGAAGCCAGAGCTTGATGTCCCTCAGCACTGGAGCGACGGACTAGGGTAGGATCTAGCAGCCTTCCATCTGGAATGCCACACCGTGATTTTTCAGTCTGAATTGGAAAGTGCCAAGAGGAATCCAGCAGGACCTCCAGGATCCACACGGACATGTGGACTTGACCTGAGAAAGTGGAAAAAGGGCTTCCACTGCTTGTGGGTTTTGGGGCACAGGGGGAGCCATGTCAGGGTTTCAGCATGCCTTTCCCTGTTCCTGAGACTGGATGTAGGATGGGCCTTAATCTTGATGTCTGTGAGTGTGTCCACTCTGCTCAGCACAGCAGGGCCCTGACCCTGGGTAGGGCCTCTCTGACTAGTAAAGAGTTCAGGCAAAAATAATTCTGGATAGGCATGCAGTGGCTATCCCTAACTTCAACCTGTTACCTAATGCAGCCAGCTGATGCAATGCCTACGAAGGCAGCATGACCTCCTTTTCTTCCATGGAGATTTCTTTGGCATTCATTTTTTTCCTGGCTTGGCCTTCTCTGCCATTCCACTGGTGGCAGAGGGAAGAGCTGCCTCAGCTTGTACTGTGCTAGTCTATAGCCTTGCTCTCTTTTTATATATTCCAGCCTGTGCAGCTATTTAGCCCAGGTTCTGCTTTTCTGTTTGTGTGATATATGCTTATATTACAGCTGCAGAATGAAAAGGAGAAAGATACAAAGATAAAAGAATAGGGCATAAAGACAGTATGCACAATTCTTAAGCTATTCATACAACAATATGCATATATGTGTCTCTATATTTGCTACTCTCACCTTTTCAAGCTCTTCAAATTTCTTTGCCAGCTCCCAGTCTGCAAGAAGGAGAGTAACATCAGTATCTGAATTGCTTCCCAAAGCTCAAACAAAAACTATGTTCTTCATTTAACCACTTCAGGGGTTGACAAGAAAAGACCTAGTTATCACCTCATTCCTGTTAGTTATCTCCAAATCTATGGTAGCAGAATCAGTGACAGAAAAGCAGGCTTTCTCTGATGAGTTCTATGAACTTCACTCTAATTGTCCATTGATGAGGGAGGACACTTTATTGTTCACCAGGCTCTAGGAGAATTGGCCCAACAAAGTCACATACTGTATGATACCAACTCAGATGAACCTCTTTGCTGTTTTTTCATTTTTTTTCCTGATAACAGCAAGACCCTAATGCTGGCTTTCCTGTCACTGGCCTTTTATATGAACTCCCATTTCTTCCTTTAAGACTTGTGTACCCTCACATCACCCACGCAGGCAGAAGTCAGAAGACACAGATTTTGCCTAGCATAACTTACTGCTTTATAAGTCAGCAAACATCAGGGTTGGCAGAGTGGAGCAACAGCAGTGAGTGCATAGATTCTACACTTCTAAATGTTAGGAAGCCTGGGAACCAGCTTCATAGATTAGATTTAGAGATCTCAAGTCTGAGCAGAACTGTACTAGAATGTCAAAAAAATATGAATTAACTGCCCTGAGATAACACATCCAGGACAAGGAAAGAGTTACGTGCCTATGAACGGTATCTAAAACCTCCAGCTGTATTGGGAAGGGCCTGGACTAACAGTAGGAAAAGCTGCAGGAAGGGATGAAAGATTTCAATCTCACTCCTCTTGAGGACTAAGATACCCTATTCCAGACTCAAACTGATGTCAAAAGCAGTTATTAACAAAAAAAAAAAAAAGAAATAAATAGATGAAACAATGAAAAGCACCATGACAAAATAAGCTAAATCAAAGCTGAGTTACTGGACTACAGCAGCTCTCCTAGGAGGGGAGCACAAAGTGATCAGGTGGTTTTAAGTGCCAATTTTGGAAAAAATGCACTAAACTAAGCAGAAGGGCCAGGAAAGAGCTGAAGAATGTCTCTGCTGTGCCTGACAAGAAAGCCAAAACCCAGCCCTGGTGCTGCCTCCTTTGTCTGCTCCTAACGTGGCAGCAGGCGTTGATCTGCATCTCCAAGAGGATTTAGGATACAGTTTCCTCTGATTTCAGATAAGACTTCAGCACAAAGACACATTGCCAGACTTAGGTTTTTTTAAAAAAAAAACATCTGAAACTGAGCAGCCAAGAAGGAGCTGACTGCCTTTCCAGTTTCTCCTTCAAGAAGGAAACAATTCAGTTGAAAAATTCAGAATATTTTATGACTGATATTAATCCAGCAGAAAAAGGAGCAGTTCCTAACCAAATCCATTGCATCAGAGCTCAGTTTAACAGATAGTCTGGGTATGGGCTGGGATCTGGGAGGTGGGGGCTCTGTTCCTGGTGCTGCCAGCAATGACCTCAAGCAGATTCCTTTTAAGAATGTCTTTATGTATCCATAAGGTAAAGACACCCAGGCCTGCAGATCTACAAGTCAAAAGTGGCACTTAAGAGATAATTATTTTGTTATTATTGTTACTATTATTATACACATTTTTACCTCTTTCAGAATTTCAAGTGTGTGTTTTGGCTTAACTTTCTGCAAACTGTAAGCTTGGCCAATGACTGCTATGAATAGAAAATGAACAGTGGTTGAAATTTGGAACAGATTATCTCAAGCAGGGGGAAGGAAGTTAATTTATGCATGCAGCTTTGAGAAACTGCCTGCTGTAAATCCTCTGTCTGCGCTCTGCTCAGAGATTCATTAGATTCAATTGTCTGGCATAAAATGCAGCCTTTCCTCTAGGAGCAATAAGTGCAATAATCCATAAACCAATCATAAAAATGTTATTTCTTGAATGCATCTCCTTTGCAAGAAGAATGCCTTGCTTAGAACAAGGATTTGATTTATTTGTGTTTATTTATTTGTCCCAGGATTGTTTAACCACTGCTTCACTGCATTAACAAGGAGCTGGGGAAGAGCACGGAGTGATTTTGAGAAATGGATTTTCATAACAGAATTTTTGCTGGGCCCCATTCTTGGCTGTTTTCACAAGGAAGATCGGCTTCCTGCTCCAAGACCACCACATACAGCCCAAACCCTCCCCTAGCTCTGGTGGCTGTGGGAATAGCTGACCCCTGAAATCCTTATGGCAGTTGTGATTGCTGTGCATAGTGTCAGAGAAAGCCCAAACTTTTCTTCAGTGTGTCTGAGTTTAGCCACATGTGGCTGGCTTTAAATATGGTGTCTGTTCACAGAGCACAGACAGGAAAATCCTCTCCATGATCCATCTTTGGCCTCTGTGCTGTCTGGGAAAAGCCTGTTGTCTCAACCTCCTCCAGCAGTAGCAGGACCTTAGGCTCAGATAGGAGCTCCCACTACCCTTCATCCAACCTACACCTGACCCCAAGTGATCAGTCTCACCCATATGATCTCTGCAATCCTGACTCTGCCCCACTCCCCCATATGCTCACAAGGTGCTGCTGGTTTTAGCATGCCAGCAAGCCACTGAGCTGAATCTCAAAAGTACATGAGGCTGTATGGAGTGTGGTTGCAGAGGTGACTCCCAAGGCTGGCCCATGCCCCCAGTACACAATGTCTCAGGGATAGCAGGGGCACAGGGACTCAGCAGCAGCTCTTCTTTCTATTACTTCTGTGCACACACACAAGCATGCTTGCCAGCTCAGTGTTAAGTGTCTGAAGATCCAGGGTGCATGTTTTGGGGCAGCTTTATGTTGCATTGCAAAAGCATGTCCAGGAGCTCCATGATGGGGAACATCTCACATTAATCACATGTAGACACCATGCTGGGTGCTTCTGCTTTCTGAGCAGTTGGCATTTCTGAGAAACCTGAGAAGCAGGTTCCCTGCATTCATGCAAAAATGGATCCAAGAGGATGAGATCTCCGATCCTGTTCACTTACCAATATTTTCTGGTCTCCGCCATGCGAGTTTCTTATTAAGAAGCAGAGTCAGCAGTGTTTCCTCGTGATTTGTGTCTTCTCTCTCCGGAAGCACTTGGTTATCTGCAGCACATAAAACACACCTTTCTCAGTCTGTAATGATAAAATGGATCAATCCCAGCCCCCAACATTAAACCAAAAAATGAAGTAGGGTAATAAGTGGAAAGAAAACATCTCCTGTCAGCACCTGTCCACCTGTCTATTAGGGTGGAAAGACCTCTGGGGAAGAAGAAGATGTGTGAGCATAGAATAAAATGTCCAGACAGTGAGGGCTGCACAGTGAAAGGGTGTGGAATGGGGGAACCTTCCCTGTTAGCTCTGGGCTTCTGGCCAGTCTCACTGCAGCCTCATCAGCATGGCTGGCTGCAGAGAGCTGGAGCCATCACCTTGGTTTAGACAGTCTAGACCTCTTGTGTAGTGGATGTGTCTGCAAAGCCAGGCAGGAACCCATGAGATCTTCTCAGAACTACAGGTGTTACCCCGCTCACACTATTCACCTTCCCAGGGGCAAAAGAGGTGCGAACTTAACGCTCATGAGGGCTGACATGTGGGTACCACAACTGAAAAGCCCTGCAGCTCTGCAGTCTGTTCTTGCACTCACTCAGCCTTGGGGCTACTCTATCTGATTGCCAGTGGTATCATAGGATTCCTCTTGAACAGAGTCAAAGTGTGGAGGAGCTTAAAGCAAGCCTCTTTAGCTGTAGACCATAGAATCATAGAATCATAGAATAGTTAGGGTTGGAAAACACCTTAAGATCATCAAGTTCCAGCCCCCCTGCCATGGGCAGGGACACCTCACACTAAATCATATCACCCAAGGCTTTGTCCAACCTGGCCTTGAACACTGCCAGGGATGGAGCATTCACAGCTTCTCTGGGCAACCCATTGCAGTGCCTCACCACCCTAAGAGTAAAGAACTTTTTCCTGAATCTTTCTGTTTTCCAGGGAAAGCCTCTCCAAACTGCTGTCCTAAAGCAATTTGGACTTCTTTATGAGGCCTCTTCAGGGAGCTTTCTCAGTGGTTTTGCTTTAGTGGTTGTGGCTATGCCCTCAAATGAATGGTGGGGAAGATCAAGGGTTTAACAGAAACCAGCAGACACACAGGATGGGACTAATCAGAGCCCTAAAGGCTCTCAGATCCTCCCAGCTCTGATGAACAGATTTCCAGAATAATCTGAAACTTGAATTTTGCATTCATTTTTGAGAATGACAGAATGGAAGCCAGACTTTACAGGGAGAATGGTCATTCCCCAGAACCTTTGGTCTGAACACCGTCTGAACACCCGTGCCTCACACCCAGATCCTACAAAGCCCTTGAAGATGCCTAGATTTCCACAACTGGAAAATACAGAAAGGCTTATTTTCTCTTTTTCCAGGATCTTTAGGATCTGCACCCTCCATTCAAGGAGGTGACAAAGGAAAAAATGGTCTCGTATAGCCATCAGCTCTTTATAGGTGTGATGAGATTAATGCAATTATTTCTGAGACACGAGACAAAACATTGTGCCAGATGAGTCTTAAGGATGCTCAAGAGTGTATGGGAATCAGCTCCATTTGCTAAAATAACATAAATCTGCTGAAGCAGAGGAGCCCTGGCCAAAGTGATGCTCCAAGTATGTGGCCAGACTCAATCCTGCCTCACGCTGCGGCTGAACCCTCTGGTCCTGGTTGTGATCTCTGGAAAAAACCCCAAGGGAGTTGGTAGAGCTACATGCTGTGTAAAACTCGTGGAGTGCTATAAACCTCATTCCTAAATCTGAAAGACAGTTATTATTCTAAAATAGCTACTTCTAGTCATTTGGGGGATTTGCTACAGAAAAAAACCCACCCTATAAACACTCCAGTAAAAACCAAAGAGAAGCAGTATGTAGGTAAAGTGGCTTCAGTAATGTTTTGGTTGACATTACAAAAATAAACAGGTGATATAAGAGGAAAAATAATTTGAAAAGCAATGTTATTTTCAAGCCTATATTTAGCATCTCTTTTTCTTATTTCCACTGCCAAGTCTCTTTAAGAAAGAAGATAAATGATTGACATTTCCCTGCAGAACAAGTTCAAGCAAAGATTAATTTAAATTATGGGAGAACATATAAAAAGAAGTTTTGTGAATAAAAAAAGTTCAGCAGCACCCTACTACTGACATTTATGAGCTGTCAAATCTCATATGGTACATTCCGGAATTGCTACTCTGTGATATTTTAATGTTTTTCTTTGGAAATTTTCTTCTGGGAGAGAAAGAGCTACCCTTACCAGATTTCACCAGATCTGATATTTTTACTGATTAGCAGACTATATCATACTATCAGCTGCAGACCAGAAGGACAGCTTTAGCTCATGTTAATATGAACAAGTCTCTGAGTAGCACCCATGTTAATTTTTTAGTATTGCTCAAGGTTCATTTTATTTTCTTCACACATAAATGAGTGTTGCATTGGCCGTGACAAGCAGCAAAGCAAAGCAAAAATATTACCACCTACCTGTGTCATCTAGTTTGTATTCCAGCTTACCTTGTAGTAAAAAAGGCTCTCCATGTGTAGATGGGATATACACAGTCATGGTCAAGATGGCTAGCACCCCAAGGAACAGCTGGACAGACCACATCTTCTCCACGTTCCCACTACCTAAAAGCATTCTTCCTTCAGCCACGGTGGAGGACTTCAATGCAACTCAGTGCCAGATGAGCTCACTTTTAAGAGGCAGTGGATGTGCCGTGATTGCAAATGGCCTTTGGAGGAGGGGAGAAAAATATCTCTGGAGACATAATTCAACCTGTCAATATGATTCACTCCTTTGGGAGTGGACAGAACAACCCAGTTACAGATGTCAGATGGAACCTGTTCAATATATCTCATATCAGACTGATCTAATGAATTCTGATGCTCCCACAGGCGTGCACTGTGCACACACATTGATACACATTCCATATGTACATACATTAAAAATATTTTTTGGTGGCTGCTCCTTTAATAGAGTTCAGACACGAAGACTCCCACATTAGCAAGGAAGATTTGTCTAACGTACAGTTGCCATATGTCCCCAGTTTGGACGGAATCAGGTTAATGGGTTTTTGTAATTTATCATCTCACTTCCTAGTGCCTATATTAATTAATGTGAGATATAATGAGTGCTGAAGTTGTGGGAAACAGAAAGGGAGAGCTCTTTTCATTTAACTGATTGGAGGATGTTAAGTGTGTCTCACTCACCGTGACTTATGGCTTTGTCAACGGGAAAGGCATCACACCCTATTTTGGGATTCTGTCTGAGTGGGGGTGTGCAGATTTGGCAGCAGATATGGAATACATCAAGGATGGGCAACTGTCTTCAGGGTTTTTTTGAGAAAAAAGAAGTGGAAGGTCAGATGCTGGTTCTGACTGCACAGTCGTATAGTTTAGAGCAAAGCATTGAGTATTGAGGTATATTCCATGTCTTCTCCAGAACCCTATTTGTTGTCTATCCATCCCTATTCATCAGGGACCTGCTACTAGTTTCTATTACAACCTTACCAAGAAAAATGTCATAATAGTAACAGTGCTAAGCTTTGTTTTTCACTTCTGCTTCTTCTGCAGAACTGAATCATCTGTACTTGCTTTGGTCTAACCCCAGGCAGCAACTAAGCACTAAACAGCCACTCACTCCCCCCCATGGTGGGATGAGGGAGAGAATCAGTCCAATCTCTGATTTGTACATACACTCCTAGTGACTCACTTTGTGTGCCTTTTTGACTCCACATTATGCCAGATTACCCAACATAGCTTCCTCTGATGGTACCTGCACTTCATCTCAACTAAAAGACAGTATGATTTCCATATTTGGGCTTTTGGCTTCTAGTCCCCAGCTCTCCCTGCAACATGCTGTGCTATAGAATGGCTAGCTTTTTAATATCCCTTTACATATTTACTTTTTACTAATAAATAGTGTGAAGAGGCTCAGATTTTTGCAAGAAGCGCTTATGAAATTGAATGTGATGCTTCTATTAAGCAATACTTTTCTACTGAGAAAATATTCCAAAATTTTCCCTGCAGTTATAATATGTACAAATAAACCAAACTTGTCTTTTCCCTCAGTCTTGTGAACCAGCTGAAGCACGCCCCTTCTTCACAAAGTCTGAACTAAAGGACAGCTTTGTCCTAGTGGGACCACTTTTCCAGCTGCCTCTGCCTCCCTAAGATGCCTGTTTCAAACTGTTCACAGGTGAGCAGCCCCCATGAAGCAGAGGCCATAACTGGATGAGCACCACCTTGCACAGGAGTCCAAGGCGGACAATACTAGCTCTGACTCAAAACCGTATCCTTAAAGGAAGGTCAGGTCTGTTTTACTTGGTATTAAATGGTTTTCCAGGTCCCTACCAGTCTGTCTTGAGATCTGCTGTAAAACTGACTTTGCCTGGATGTAGAAGGTGGGTTCCCCATCTCATCTAAGTTTATGCAGAACCCACAGGCTCTGACTGTTTTTTTCATACCCTTGGCTATAAGGCGTCATGGGCTATTGCCAGGCTCTTTCAGGAGGATGAGCTCTTCTCTGAGATACTCTCCTTCACCGCTAAAAAACTTCAGTTCTGGGTCACTGCAACTGTTAAGCCCCCAAAGCAAAGTGTGCCAGTGCTTTCAATGAGGGCCCTGGTGAAGATGAGGAACTGCCAGTCTACATTTACATACTAGAAGAGAGATTACTGGATGCTGTGACGGGTGGATGCTCTGATCAGGCGGATGAGTGGGTGGATAGATGCCTGAGTACTGCTGCCAGACATTAGTGGACCTTTTGCATTTGTTGCAATTATAAGGGTTGATTTGCAGTGTTGGGCTTCTATAAGACTCCCACCTAGAAAATTCCTTTGCTTTTAGCCCACTTGTGTGAGTGCTGGAAACACTATTACATTTTATTGTTCTTATGTATTTTATTCCCAATAGAAAAATAACATTGTCTCCATATTCCCCTTCTTACTTAATTCAGCCATGTCTTCTACATCACCCACTGAGCATTTTTGTCTAGAGCTCAAAGATAGTGCGTATATCTCTACCCCCCATGGCACCAGTCTGTTTAAGCTTCTTCTTGCAGAAGTTTCTCTTTTCATAGAGCCATGCAGACTTCAGGTAATCAAGCACAATCAAGCTGGAAAACTGAAAAAGTTAGACAAACCCAATAAGTCCAGAAGGCAAGACTGAAGAAGGCTTAGCCCAAACAGATGCCACTAAACTCAGCTGCATCAGCTGAGTGTTAGAGATGAGTACATGTATCAGGACCCTGAAGGTGTTAACAATCCCAAGCAGCCTCATCTGGGGCCTCTATCACTCTCTCTGCTCATAGGCTGAGGAACCCTATTTAAGTTCAGCCCTGAGGTGGTTTTGCTTCTGTTTGGGCTATGCTGGATGAATGCTGGTCTGCAGCTCACCTATGTCTTTGCCTGCCAATGTTCCCTACTAATCTGGACCCAGATGCGCAGGTTAATTTCCCTGTTTGACCTCAGATATGTTCCATCAGTGTGAACCTGTCTGGTGGTTGCTGGACTGTGTTTGACCTTGGTTGCTACCATCTGCCCTGATTCTGACAAGTGGATTCACTCCCAGCTTGAATCTGGATCTGCCTAGGCTTCCCTGATTGTTGGAGCTCTTGGCTGAATCTGCTGCTGTCTCTGGGACTGCTCTGCTTGCATCCCTTGGGATGGGTCCCTGTTCTGCTGGCAGTATCACTGCATTTGGTTCCCTATTCCCTAGGGAGCAGTTGGTCCTTGCTGCTCTTGGACATAACTTTCCTCAAAATGTTCAGCTTCTTTCTGTGCATAGACTCCTCTGTCAGGTAGACATTGGAGCAGTGAAGGCTTTCAGGTATGTTATATAAAATCCCAGTTTCTCTGAAGTCACTTTGGGCTTTGCTGTTAGCAGTAACAAAGCTAGGGCTGCCTTTCAAAAAGATGCAATCCCCAAATAACCTAACCTTAGTTTAACCCTAAAGCAGTAACCTTCACTGTTTCAGAATAAGCCTTAGACAAGGGGAATTCAGTGTGGGTTTTGAGTGGAGGAGGAGTGCAGGAGGCAGTGTTAAGCTGCTTGAAAGCAGAACATGAAGGGGCTACATTTTGGAGCCGGCTTGGAATGGTGGCTTTCCAGACTACTTTATATGTTGTACATCTGGGGGCTGGAGAAAGAGAAAATATTGTTATTTTTCCCCAGACCTTCCTGAAAATGCATGAAAACATTACATGCATCATGTATTTCAAGTGAACCTCAACAGCATCAACAGGCTTTGCTGTGGTCTCCACTTAACCACAGTTTGCTTGGTCTCAAAACAAACAACCTGCTATGAGAGGACCTGTCAGGGAAGAGCCTTTACTTAGGGTTGGGAGAAAAGGTGTATGAACTGTTTTGCAACCTCTGCACCAGGCATGGAACTTGGCTGCAGCCAGCTGGTCTCAGCTGTCAGAGACAGGATGTTACACTCTGTAGCGCAGATACGGAGGCTCCTGTGTCATTGTTTTCTTGCCTAGAGTGTTTCTAAGAATAAGAAGAGAGGGGGGAATGGCAGCCCCAGCAGAGCAGTGAAAGGTTAGTGAGCTTTTATCAGGCAAGAAAAGGGAGCTGCCCTCACAGCAGGGGTGAAGAGAGCTTCACACACAATGTCAGAAAGGCAGAAGTCATCTTGCTCCTCTTCCTCGTTATGCTCTACCATGTGCTTCTATCACCTGTCAGTTTACATGCCCAACAAACTGTTTCCATTTTCTTGTTGCATCTATCTGCCCCCTGTGTCTCCAACTGTGCTTCACCTAGTAGAAATCAGAGTAGAAGGTACTGAAAACCATCCTGTCCTATTCAGCCTTCATCCCTTACACATTTAATATTTTATTTCTCCTCTGCTTCTTACCCCTACCCTGGAGTGAACTTGAGAAAACAAAGCACACTCAGTCCTGTTATTTAAAATGCCACTCAGAGGTGGTCAAATACTCTGCTGATGTATGCTGCAAAGTCCTTGACAGAGCAACTTGACTGCAGAAAGAAATTAAAATATTGTGCACATAAGCCAGGAGAGCAGTCCCTCCTTGCATCTCCCTGAGAGGAGCGAGTACATAATGGGAAGGGAGGTGTAGTAACAAAATGAGATTCTCTGTTCCTTGGGGGACTGTTAAAACCTGTCAATATTTATGAAGCTTTTAGTCTGACATGCAATTTGCTCCTCCTTCTACGTACTTGTCTTCTGGACTCAGCTGTTGCTTGGCATGTTACTGCCATAAAATCAGATGCTGTAGTTTAACTGTATCCTTGTTTACAGAAAAGTGAAAGGTCCAACGCAGACTGTAAAGCAAATCAAGTTGCCACCTTACTGCAAACAACTAAGGGAGCACACAGAGGGAAGCATCACCAGCTCCCGTCAGATGAACATTGTATTGAAGAGAAACAGTTCCTCACAGTTAAGGCAGCAGAGGGTAAGAAGTGCAAATGACCTAGCTTTTACATTCACTGTGGGGGTTGTGAGGAAGCCACTCAACTTTCCAGAGAACAAGCCAACTCCAAAGTATCCTCCTGGAGTGAAAAAGTAATGCAGGAATGTGAAAACGTTGGATGTGGAAGGAGGCAGCCCATGGAGAGAAAGCAGTGGGCAGTCAGTTGTGGTGCCATTCTCACCTCTGCCTCTTAATCCTGGAGGAGCTGGAGCACCTCCTCTAGACTTAGTCTCCCATCCCTACCGACTGGGGTTACTTGACTGAGTTTGCTGGTGAGGAGATTAAAGCAATGCAGAAACATTTTCTGTTTTGAAATGTGCTGTGACCTGCTGGTCTCAAAGTAATTTCCAGCGATGCTCCTGAGTGGTAAATACTGGTGTGGCTGGGTAGGGATTAATGTGATCCCTGTGCCAGGAGAGTGTCCTGAAGAGGCATTATCTGGAATGACCTAGTTATACCAGCAGATTTATCTTCAGCTTGATCCCTCTCTGTTCCGACTCACCTTCTGCAAGCCCCGAGTCCATCCTGGATAATGAGTGTGAGAGTGTCCTTGGACTTGGCAGGGACATCAAGTGTTTAGTGATGCTGTGAGGTGTCTTTGCAAGAGTAGTATCACCTACCCAAGCTAGTACTCCAGTAAAGCAATGGAACTAGGAAAGCTGAGAGTGATTTGGAGCAGAAGCCTGCCTGGGTTTCTGGAGAAGCTCTTCCCTCTCCATCATTTATAGGAAATTACAGAACAGACACTTGTGAAAATGGAAACTTAGGTAAGAAAGCAGCACATGGCCAACAAGAGGCAATTTCTAGAGCTGGGACTTGCCCTCCCCAAGTGTGGTTACAAACCCATCACCTTGACAATAGTGTCAGACTTCACCTTATTTGTTCTTTCTAGAAGATGGGTATCAGTGGTCATTATCACTTTTC